ATAACGGTTACAACGACAAGCTTCTTCCTAAAATCTTTCTTTTTAGTTTCATGAGATTAAGACCCAATATCAAGAAAATAGGTGGAATCTGCCGATTATAGCTACCGAGAAATGCTGTATATTTATAAGTAAATAACCTTGAACATACAAAAATGTTTTGGTGCTCGGTTTGCTATCTAAAAAATGCTAGTAGATGATTATGTGTACGACATGTATATAAAATATGTTATAAAGAAGGTACAATATGTATGTAAACCTTGCTGGGACGTACCATGGAGCCACATCAAGAGACTAGTCTCGCAATAGGCGCATAAAAAATCGACAAGCCATTGGAAGCAATGTGAAGGATAACGACATCCTAAAAGATTGATCAATTCTTTCTACATAGCACGCAAGCTATTGGAACAACGAAAGATCGCCATATGTCTCGTAAGAGGCTGCTGCAGGGCTTATAACTCCCTCAGGTAACACCTGAAAAATGTTGGTATCTCAGATACCGATTTATGCGGAATTTCTGAGGGGGCGAAAGAAATGACCCCTCATTTCCTGTGCGAATGTACGGCCATCTGTAGGCTTAAATACCAGGTGAGTGGCAAACACTTTATAACACCGAACGCTATATAGCGTTCTAAACCTAAGAAAGTGACGGGATCTATAACGATCTTAAAGCCGGGGGGCGAGGGGAACAAGTGAGTACAATACATATCTTTACGTCGCAATACGGATCGCTCAACACTTCACAATCAATGTATTTATGTGCGTAATGTATGATAAGTAACTGATACGGCGATCGAAATGAAAATTTCACTCTATCAAAGTTGGTAAATTTAACTGTTCAGTTATTCACCTAAATCAAAATAAGTCACCAAAAAGCCCACATTGTTTAGAATTTTGCTCTTGCTAAACAAAACAGCTTTGCTAACTTCTACAGAGAAACCATTTAAAACATTTAATGACATCTATATAATAAAATAATCAGATATAAAACAAACTGTAGTTTATACTATAACCACAAAAGTAAAACAAATCAATTATTGTTACTGATTACCAGGTAGAGTGCATACACTTGCCGAAAGAATGCAATGCAGAAAAGATCTATTACAAGATTTTAAAGTTATAACGACGCTCGAGATTTTTCGTATGGGTTAAAGGATACTGCGTAAGCGTTTTTATTAAATTAGTTTTACAGATGAGGAGATTGTATATATAAGAGGTTCTCAAGATGTTCCAAATATGATATTGCAGTGAAATCCTTTAAGACCCGTTTAAAAGACCTTGATTGTGCTAAAGTTTCCTAGCAAACACTTTGCTTATTGTAGTGACAATATATATTGCATATTTTTATATTTGGACTGTCTTTATTAAAAGATAGGGCCGATAACCTTAATCCACAAGAACATGCGAATAGCGAAGAACACCGATTACCAAGTGAGTGTCCTTGGGTTCAAATCTCAATGCGGTAGAGTTTATTTTAATCGTAGCTGTAGTGACTGCTCAGTAAAGGTATAATAACATACACCCACTAGGCTGCAAGCACTTAACCCTATTACGAGAATAGGAAAAATCTTCTGAGTGAACGCCTAGAATTTATTTCTTTAGCCTAAACAAACTGTAATGATAATAATAAAATTTTCCTTCATTTGTTTATAATCATATCGTTTGTGTTTCGATGTCGTGCCACAAAGTGCAGTTTAACAAAGGCCCGAGTCAATATGAAGAATTCCCAGGTTTGAGCAAAGAACGTTGATCTAATCTTCCAACATGTGATATTCTTCCCTAAGCTGTCATTTCTTTCTATCCTTGAATTTCGGCTTTTATTCCTTTTAGCTCAGATGCGACGTCAGTATAAATTTAGATTTTCAAGGTAACCAACTTTCAATTCAGTTAACCAGTTAGCTGTGTCGACTTATTTCTTAAAATACACTATAAAGGAAATCCAACAAGGGCGGATGGACGGATCATGATATATACGTTCGTCATACACAGTTGACATTAGATGCCTATTTTTGACGCCCACGCATTTCTTCGAAATAGTTTCTACTTAAGAATGCTAATTAATATGAGAAACGTTCGGGAGACGAGCTTCGTGAGTCAGTTAAGAAAAACCCTCATTTTATTAAAGGGAAGCTGACATTATAGAAGGCATCAAGCGGAACAGTTTGTCTCCGGGCAACGACTTCCCTATTAGACGTAATTTCGAAACATTTTGCTGAGCAAGCCTAGAAGGAAGGAAAGGCACAAAGCTACCCATTTTCATTTAATTAAATTTCTCGACACATTTCACTAAGAGAATTACATTAAAATGAAAAAGTTTAATTTTCTTCAAAATATCAAACATAATGTTAAAGACATTTTCCTGCCTAATAAATATCCATACGAGAGAACTAGGAAAACTTTAAACATCATGTTGCTATCAATTGTTACTGTCTAAATTATAACAGATCACCCGAAAGCAAAATAGAAGCGAAAATGTAAATACATGTGTTAAGTAAGCCATACAAAATTAGAAATTTTACTTGAAATTAAATAATATAAGTTCTTTGAAAAGAAAATGAAAGAAGACTTGACGGGCTATAAACTAAGGGATATGAAGTAGACAATGTCAGCATAAAGAATTGAAAATGAAAAGATGAAAAGGGAACTTACTTTAATGAAATTCGAAAGAAATTTATAAAATCATATACGGGATAAATGAGGCAATAGTAGGTTTGTTCAAAAAAAAAAAAAAAAAAAAAAAAAAAATGTCTTTCAATTTTCACAAAAAATGCATAAAATCATAAATGCATACATTTTTGTAAAGATATGCCAATGCATCTTCCATATGCCCTGTGCAGATAGTACAGCAGCCAGCATTCACATTCACATTCACATTCTTAGCTAGAGTTTTTGTGTCATTTCGTATACCATATACCGACTCACGTAGAGCTGTCAATTGCCTGACATCTTTATGTTTAGAAAGGCTGCACCTACTTAAAATCTATTCTGTGTCGCCTAAAATAAATACGCATTCAAGTAGCTTGGATATTTCGCACGTTCGGTGTCGTACAATTCCTACTCTGCCATTTGCTTTAGTTTTATATGAAAACTTTTTACATATTTAACTTACATAGCATAGCATTCATTGTTGTTATATTCATGTACATAAGCAGGCTGCAATTGACAGGACAACAGTTACAGACAAGATATTACCTGAGCAGTTCGGTTTATTCCATCTATCCATCCATTGGGAATTACCTTCGTAGTAACACAAGTGTCCAGAAATGAGAAAAGGAAAACATTAAAAGCAACGTGTCTGATAACTAAACTCAACGTTTGTGGAGCATGTGGCATTTTTCGTTTATGTTAATTCTGTAATAACATTCTTACATACATTTAGTTGCTTCTATACTATACTATATAGATATACTTATATCGCCTGCTTCCATATATACAAAAATTAGGGCGTTAACTTGAAAATTTCAAATTAAAAAAATGAATAAATAAAAATTCTCTCCTAAGTCACGGTCGTAGCTAATGAGAAGGGGCCAATGCAAGTTTTATTGGTAGTAGCATAGCATTCATATTGAGGGTAGTTAAGTAATTTCCAATTTGCCCGAAGAGGAAAGCACGGTCTAATGCTGTATGCTCTACGCTCTACTTTCACTGCTTTGTTTGCCCATCGTAAAAAAAAGAAGTAAGAAAATTATATTCGGCCCTGGTCGCATCTAAGAAAAGAAAAGATTCAATATAAACGAAAAAACTAATTTTCCATACTTTATAACATTAAGTGGGCATGGCTATATGCTATAGTCAATCCTATAAAATATACATGAAAATTTTCATCGTGTCTATGGTAGATTTATACAGATATTGCACAGATTAGGCGACAGACAGATGGACATACGAACGGGTAGACGCACTTAAGTGACAAGACAAGACAAAGCCAAGAATATACGCAACTAACGGTGTCTCGGAGCTTTCCTTCAAGGCTTTTGCAAAAAAAAAGAAAAAAAATGTTGATGCATTGGGTGGACAGGGCTGATTTTCTCCACATTTTTAGAGGTGTTAGGGAACGTTTACATTTAGTGCTGTTGTAAACGACAAACAATTCTTATTTCTGTTTGTAAAAATTTCCTGTTTTAATAATTGGCTATAAAGCCTTTGCTTCATGCGAGTGTTTCAAGAATAGCATAAGGCCGGCCTTGCTTGGCACAACTTTCGAAGGAATCACGATTCTTTTGAACAAGGTTGCACAGATAGAAAATGCTCTACGAGTTCAGGCTTTTCTATTAGAGTACGAATCAAGATTCTAGTTTCTCTGATTCATAGGACAACCTTAAGTATATGATCAACATAAGGTACATTGTTCGTTCCAATAATCTCTAAAGTTTATTTAAGAATTTTTACGTTAATATATACAAAGTCTGCCACCCCTATTTTCCTTTTGTATCGCTACCGCTATGACTGAACAGAAACTGAAAAACTCTAAGCAAGCAATATAAAATGATGACAAAGAAAGAAACCAACATAACAACATTGAACGAGTGATGAGTGAGTGATACTGGTCAAATTAGAGAGAGCGAGAGCGAGAGAGAGAGAAGGAAAGAGAAAAATATCGTTCGAATATTAGCTGAGAGGCGGAGTTTTCGAAATTGTTGACGTAAAATATGTTAATAACTTAACAAGCAACGTCACAAAAATGAACGAACGGTGGTGAGTGTATGGTTTGCATGTATAATCGTAGCCATGAAACAGTTCAATTCCTCTTTTCATGCGGCGATGCATGTTTTTTCTTTGTGCGCATACGTTAGAAAATAATTTGATAATTTATTAGTAATACGATTGAAATTTAAAAATACGCGATTCCGTCGCTTTGCTCTTAGAAGTGACGGTGTTACATATATCCATAATATTTCCATAATAAAAAAAAAATTAAAAAGAAATATTTTAGTTAAAAATTAATTCTATACTCAAATAATACGTAATAGGAAAATATTTAAGATTTTCATAAAATACTTGATAGTGTGTGATAAACCATTTTGCGTTGTTGTGTAACAAGGGTTGAAAAGTTGTAATATTTATATTTAAAAATCTTTGTGCGATATAGTGTTTGAATTGTCAAACATGATGGACGTAAGCAGCATGTATGGCAACCATCATCCCCATCATCATCATCATCATCACCATCATCACCATTCTAATCACGCTAATACTTATACTCATAGCGGTCATACTATCAATTCAGCGTCCGATATGACTGCTCCAAATGATTATTCAAGTACTTACTTCCCTCACGCCTCGCCGATGTCGCATGGTGGCGTACATCATCAACAAAATCATCATGTAGGAATCGGTTATCCGCTATATGAAACATCTTCGTCGCCTCCCAATTATTACCAACAACAACCTCAACTTACACCTCCTCCCGTGCAATCAGCGAATGCTTCCGGACAAACATTGTACACGCATTCTCATCTCTTTAGTCCCAGTGCAGCAGAGTACGGCATAACTACATCGAATACCCTGCCCATCGCCCACGGTTCCACTCCAAGCAATCATGCCAATGCCAGCCAATCTGCTGTTGACATTGCTTACTATGAAAGCGATTCAGTGCATGCCTACTATGCTACAGCATCGATTTCCGCAGTAGCACCAGCGGCTGGCAATTCGCCAGTCGCCCCTAATGCTACGCAAACCCACAATCCGTCACTCGATCCTCCCATCATAAGTTCCGAAAATGGCTTAAGTTACACAAATCTTGACTGTCTATACAATCAAAATTCTCCCCATTCTCAAGCCCAACAGCATTCGAATCCCAGTCATTCTTCGTACCTTCCAGCAGTTGAAGAAAAATACGCCTCTGTCCTACATTCAACTTATAACATTGATGATTCACTAATGCATTTAAATACCAGCTCACACCCGCAACAGCATTCTTCGCAAGTTTGGCGTCATCAACCAAATACCAATTCAACTTATGCGACTTTGGATGCTATCGATTCCTATAATGTACAAAATTTATCCCAACCGCCTTCACATCTGGTCACATCATCAGCTATTTTACAACATTCTTCTACATCTCGATCGTGTATTGAACAAAATGCCTGCAGTCAACAAGAGTTATCACCTAACACAAGAACTACTCCAACGGCGTCGTCTTCATCGGCAACAACAACTACAGGATCTACTTTAAATAATGCTAATCAAACAAAATCACCGAAACAAGGCAACAATTTGCCGACTTATAAATGGATGCAATTAAAAAGAAATGTACCGAAACCCCAACGTAAGTATTAATTATCGGAAAGTATATATATAAATACAAATTTTGGGTAAAAAATTTCGATTATTCACCGACTTTATCACGTTCTTGTGATCAAAAGATAAGTTTTGATAAACTGAAACAGTGACTGCAACAAATACCACGACGTAAGGTCGAGAAGAAAACTTAAATAGGAGGCTCGTACAAAAAAAGAATTTTATCTTGGCTACGCGAGAAACGCATTTAGATTTCGCTTGTATATGATCAACTTTTTGCGAAGTTGAAAGTGAACGCTTTTTTTTTGTTTTCTCAACATCAAGAGTAAAATTAATAATCAATTTGTGCTGCATTCTACAGAGTAGAAGAAATGCACCGTCATTTGACGCGAACGATATGGTCGGTAGATTCAATTGATTCGCCTCGTCAATATAAACATCGGAATAAATAACTAGCTATGCCATCGGTACTAATTACTTTATCACTGTTGAATATACGAAGGTACCTTTTTTAAGCTAGTTTTTCCAATGGGACCCGCTCACGTCATCCTCCTCCATGCGGACACTTTGCCCTGAACTCCTTTATGCGGACCAATTCCATTTAACAAGTCGATTATTTTATGTCTTTAAGCGGATTATATATTATTCTTAAGCCGAATACACTGTTTACCCGACTTGGGTTTTCTTTGCCGGGTGTTCTCCCCTCCTTTTTCCAATATACCTATAGATTGCGAAGATCGAAATTAAAACTTTTCGTATGTAAAATTTGGATCAAAGAAACGGAAAAAGAAAAAAAATAAATTTTCATATTTCATAATACTAGGTGGGCATAGCTCACTTTTTTCAATTTTTGTATAATAAAAGTGAAAATTTATATCATGCATCTGTTGAAATTTATGAGTAATTGGCAAAAATTCAGAAAGCGATGGGGCTCTCAGTTTTCATTGCATAGGCGGTTGAGCGATGTAGTAATGTCCTTCGACGGGTTTGGGTCAAATTCTTTTGGGAATTTTTTGGCGACATCTTCGTTCATCTTTTGTCAACGGAGGAGTGTTTACCGCATATACTGCAAAATCGAGTAGACTGTTAGATGCATCCTAAATTTGAGACTGGTCCGAAATATATATACTTTACAGAGTTTCGCAAACTTGGTTCCGGGCACAGGTTTCGACAAAAAAAATGAAATATTAATTCCCTAAAGTATAGAGCAGTGGAGGGGATTTTGTCCATTTCTGCAGTAAAGCATCGCCCATCGACTATACGTTCAAAGTTTTTGTAGGTTAATCTGCTTTGGTTCGTTAGTAATGAGTAAAAAAACAATTTTTTATTACTTTTGCAAGACAGAGGCATTCTCAGTTTATGTAATACTGTAGGCGTGTCCTTTGACCAATTTGACCAAATTTCAATAGGAACCTGTTTGCATGAACTTCCCACGCTTTTGCTGAATTTGAAGACGATAGTTTCGTTTTTGCGGGCAGAAGAATGTTTACAACGAACATTACACAAACGGACAGACGGTGACGCTTAAATCAATTCACAATTTAATGCGGGTCAAAAATATATGTACTCTATGGTGCCTCTAAAACTTCTTTCTGGATGTTGGGAATGGTTTAACAAAATCAACCAACCATGCAATTACCAATCTAGTTTTTTTTAGCCATTTAGTGAACCTAAAGTTAAATAACACATTTAAGTAACATTTTATAACCAGGTAAACCTGGAATGAAATAATTTTATTCAAAACGAAAAACATAACAATACCACTTTGGCAAGGGATCTTGATTAACCTCTCTATTGGTTCTTGGGTTCAAAGCTCAAGTGCGGTAGAGTTTCTAATAATGCCGATCGCCTTTTAGATACTAGTGGTTAAGAACTTAGGCTTAGAATCTGAAAACAGAATAAATTTTCGTGTTTTTAAACTCTACGCCATTTGCGATGCAGGTTAAGTTTTGTTTAAGCTTGTAACCAACACCGAAAGTAACTTGAGAGGCGGATCGATTCGAAATCTCTTTCTGAAACGATTTCACGGTTTTCAAGCCACGGATCGCAATTTTTGGTATAATTTGATGAAATTTAATGCACTCACGTATTTCAGACCAAAAGCAAATGCTATTGAAAATGATTCGGATCGGATATCCCGTAAAGGGGCTTATTTTAAAAAATAACTGTATGAGTAACTGTAATAAGCGAAGTGATGTAAAATATTCGGTAGTAATGTATGGCATAGCATTTTTACTTGCTTTTAAGTAGAGATGAAAAGTGATTCTTTTTTTTGTTGACCTTTTGCTTTCAATAAGCTTCTTATCAATTTGTAAATGGGTAGATACCACGGAACATGTACCGTTTTCGGTTCATGGGACACGAGAAGGTTCATTATTTTAAACGAATACTTCTTTGCCTTCATGAGAGAAAGTATATATTTGTCGTAATTATAATTTATTCATACAATAAGATATTATATTACCCGGTTCTTGCAGGTATTTTGATCATTTTTTCACTTGAAAAGGGCACTTATTGAGAAAAATTGATACAATATATATTGATCAAGATACACTTTTTCCCATCTTTCTGGCACCATCGAAAGAACAACGCACATCGAACAATTTTCGCACTACTTCAGCATTTCGGTACCGCGTGCCAGCCAAGGCATGCTGCATGGATGTGAAGAAGTGGAAACAGAGGGTGCTATGTTTAGTGATTACTCTGGATGCAGCAGAACTTCCCGTTCGACCTGCAACAGGATATCATTGACATCTCTTGTAACGTGCAGCCAGGCACTATTATGCAAAACTTATGCACGACTTTGCATCTGTTATCCGCTATTGCTGGGCTTTTTGGCAGCAATATATTGTTCGATTTGTTCAACTAAACGTTGATACTTCGCATTACTTTATTATTTCCATCAATAGATATCTCTGATCAAGATACATGCAAGCACCTATTATATATTAAAATTACGAAAGAAAGACTTAATTAACGACTCACATATACACTGGCAACTAATCGGCACTAATCGCAAAAGCCATTGTAAACATCATTACATCGAATCAAATGGTGTTAGCAGCAATTCGCTTTTAGACTCTAATAACTTAATTTAAAAGATTAAGTTTGATCTACAAGCAAATACCGATAATGGTACACTTGGCAAGGAAGATGTTGAAAACCGTGTAAGATCGAGGACGTGTAGAACGAGCCGCGTTAAAGCCGCGCATAGGTGCATCTATTTATGTAATAACTAAAATACTTGGGCTTTTAGTCGCGACTTATAATAATTATAAAAAATGATTGCATTTTAAGTTGCTATTCGCTGAACGGCTTACTTACTTACTGCACAAAGATTCCAAATGGTAATTACAATAAAATTAACATATTTCATTGTACTATTAACTTATAAGTAAGCGGAAATGGCAAGTTTCACTACATAGGTTGCCGCGATTTTCTCTTATTATAAATAGTTTCTTCATAGAAATTATTAAAAAAATTATCTTAACATTTCTACCTCTACATACGCGTATGAAAAATTGTTTTTATAGTACACCTTGAATATATGTTCGTAATATGAAATTCAGAACGTAAAGTGTCATTACTACATTACCCATATCAAAAGATGTCATCCAATTGATACTTCAATACTTTAACCCAACAGACGCCAGTCATAACGTAAATGAATTTCTTAGCGCAAGAGGAACCTACACTGAAAAGACACTGTGACGTATATCTACACAGAAAGAAATCTACAAAGAAAGAGAAACCATCGCCTGCCGTGTTAGGGGACAATATGTTTCTACTCCTTACTGTGGACCTAAGTGTGCTTACAAAATCGATAAGACTTGAGAAGTAAATTTTCATTTCATTAGGCATCAAACTGCTTGCTTTTGTATTGTAACTCAAGAACTTGTTCCTCCATAACTATCACCGTTTTCATGCACCGAAAAAGAAAGTGAAAAATAAGGAAAATACCTCAAGTCCAAGCCGAAAACATTTGAAAAAATCAAAAAATTGATTTAATCGTTACATAAGCAAGTACTTAGAAAAGCCGAAAAGCAACACTCTCTTTTGGCTTAAGTAAAAGTTGTCTGGCCTAATATCATGACATAAAAATAATGAATTGTGTTGCCAATCTCTCCTTACAAATTCTCTTCTCCGATTGATATCATTTGAGAAGATTTCTTCAAGAAATATTAAGGAGCGTATTCATGCCATTTGCATTCATGGGTGTTAGGATAGATGGTTACCACTTGCTTTCATGGGTGATGGGGTAGATGGTTAGCCGATCCGGTTACGTTCGGACATTGATAGCAAGGATTGCAAAGATCACGGTGAGATAAACCCATCGTGCGAACAAGACAGTTAAGCATTTTTTCACTTTGTAGTCGATACCGATACACCGTTGAAGCTGAAAACTTACATTTTTTCTTCAGACAACCTAAAAACGATATCTTCAAGAGTGTAGTATGTAGTCGTGCAGCTTGTTATAACTATCTGCTTTCAGTCATAGACACAATACCGCAAATTTGGGTGCAGTCCCGTTTACAGGCAAAAATCCTATTTATAAAAGATCGGAAGGTTTCTTGTAACTGCTTTTCTAAGACGAGGGAATACTTTTGATAGTCGGTTCGATATCCAGAAGAATAATATAGGTAATCGGCACCCTGCATATCCAAATTTTCATATAGCACTTCTGCCACATACCTTCGTTTCTCATCTCGTCTCAAATGGCAAACGTATCAGTTTCCAAAGTTTACTGTTTTGATATATATTTGTAATGAATATGCAATACATATACGATATATACATATATATATATATAATCATTAAGGCCGCTAATTGATAAACTTGTTATACTTTAGTATTTAGTATTTCTCTCAGTGTGCAGTGAATACGAAAGTCAAACAACCAGTCAAAAAACAAACAAACAATTTAAAATTGTTACTGATCTGGAAGTCAAGTTGCTTGTCATAAAAAATTATTATTGAAATACTGCGTAAAGATATCATACCAATGTAGCCGGTATATAGAATGCACACG